ACACCCAAAAAAAAAAAAAAAAAAAAATCTAAAAATTTCCTGCACTGTAGCTTTTACCCCCCCCCCCCCCCCCTCAGAATTAAAAAAAAACTGCTGCTCTACAATCAGCCTTGCATTTACTATCTGTTTTCTTCTTCTCTTTGCCTCTATTCACTCCTTCTTTTCAGCTTTGCTAACCCGAAGAATGTCTCGTTTTTTTCCTTTCTTCAAAGTTACACCGCCAACTTTGCAGGCAATGTTCTCAAGGAATTGGTGGAGACCGACACTCCCTGAATTGAATTCAGCAATTGACACTCTTTTTTTCGACACAAAAATGTGTTTTGGTATCCTTGCCCAAATCTTTGCGTGGATGCTTTCATTAGCATTCTGTGTCATGCCAGATAAGCAGCGTTCAAGCAAACTGTCAGAGGTGAGCCTCTCATATATGGGCTTTACCTTCTCAGCCAGCACAACCTCTGACAGAAAGCAGCTGCTTTTACCTGTGTGTGAAGGGGGTGTTTGCTTGAGAGCCATGGCTCTCTGCCAAAAGCACCAAGACTCAACTCCTGTGGGACAGTCATCATGGTTGGGCACTTCGTCAGAGGAAGCTGCATGGTAGAAGTTCATGAAGATTTTTTTCCTCAGTTCTTCTACATCTGCACATTTACTGGCAACTGCCTTCTTATAATACCTCTGGAGAAGGTTCATCTTTGCCTGTAAATTGAGGAATATTTTTAAAAATTAAAATATGTTTACAAAATAAATTGTCACTGTAGCAAGGAACATAAAATTGAAAATTCTGACAATATTTGAAAAGGGTACTAACTTGTGTAAGGCTTCCAGCTTTCCGTCCACCTATCGTCCTGCCATTCTTCGCTTCTGCAGCCACTAGGTTTCTAAGTGCCGTTCCTAATCTCTTGAACACGTGATTGGTGCACTCCTCTTTTGTTATAGGCACATCATAAGGTGACAGAGACAGAAGCTCGTTGTACGTCTTGCAGTCTCCGTCACTTACAAGTGCGTGGAACATGAGGCGTGGAACATGAGGCGTGGAACATGAGGCGTGGAACATGAGGCGTGGAACATGAGGCGTGGAACATGAGGCGTGGAACATGAGGCGTGGAACATGAGGCGTGGAACATGAGGCGTGGAACATGAGGCGTGGAACATGAGGCGTGGAACATGAGGCGTGGAACATGAGGCGTGGAACATGAGGCGTGGAACATGAGGCGTGGAACATGAGGCGTGGAACATGAGGCGTGGAACATGAGGCGTGGAACATGAGGCGTGGAACATGAGGCGTGGAACATGAGGCGTGGAACATGAGGCGTGGAACATGAGGCGTGGAACATGAGGCGTGGAACATGAGGCGTGGAACATGAGGCGTGGAACATGAGGCGTGGAACATGAGGCGTGGAACATGAGGCGTGGAACATGAGGCGTGGAACATGAGGCGTGGAACATGAGGCGTGGAACATGAGGCGTGAAACATGAGGCGTGGAACATGAGGCGTGGAACATGAGGCGTGGAACATGAGGCGTGGAACATGAGGCGTGGAACATGAGGCGTGGAACATGAGGCGTGGAACATGAGGCGTGGAACATGAGGCGTGGAACATGAGGCGTGGAACATGAGGCGTGGAACATGAGGCGTGGAACATGAGGCGTGGAACATGAGGCGTGGAACATGAGGCGTGGAACATGAGGCGTGGAACATGAGGCGTGGAACATGAGGCGTGGAACATGAGGCGTGGAACATGAGGCGTGGAACATGAGGCGTGGAACATGAGGCGTGGAACATGAGGCGTGGAACATGAGGCGTGGAACATGAGGCGTGGAACATGAGGCGTGGAACATGAGGCGTGGAACATGAGGCGTGGAACATGAGGCGTGGAACATGAGGCGTGGAACATGAGGCGTGGAACATGAGGCGTGGAACATGAGGCGTGGAACATGAGGCGTGGGACATGAGGCGTGGAACATGAGGCGTGGGACATGAGGCGTGGGACATGAGGCGTGGGACATGAGGCGTGGAACATGAGGCGTGGAACATGAGGCGTGGAACATGAGGCGTGGAACATGAGGCGTGGAACATGAGGCGTGGAACATGAGGCACGGAACATGAGGCACGGAACATGAGGCACGGAACATGAGGCACGGAACATGAGGCACGGAACATGAGGCACGGAACATGAGGCACGGAACATGAGGCACGGAACATGAGGCACGGAACATGAGGCACGGAACATGAGGCACGGAACATGAGGCACGGAACATGAGGCACGGAACATGAGGCACGGAACATGAGGCACGGAACATGAGGCACGGAACATGAGGCACGGAACATGAGGCACGGAACATGAGGCACGGAACATGAGGCACGGAACATGAGGCACGGAACATGAGGCACGGAACATGAGGCACGGAACATGAGGCACGGAACATGAGGCACGGAACATGAGGCACGGAACATGAGGCACGGAACATGAGGCACGGAACATGAGGCACGGAACATGAGGCACGGAACATGAGGCACGGAACATGAGGCACGGAACATGAGGCACGGAACATGAGGCACGGAACATGAGGCACGGAACATGAGGCACGGAACATGAGGCACGGAACATGAGGCACGGAACATGAGGCACGGAACATGAGGCACGGAACATGAGGCACGGAACATGAGGCACGGAACATGAGGCACGGAACATGAGGCACGGAACATGAGGCACGGAACATGAGGCACGGAACATGAGGCACGGAACATGAGGCACGGAACATGAGGCACGGAACATGAGGCACGGAACATGAGGCACGGAACATGAGGCACGGAACATGAGGCACGGAACATGAGGCACGGAACATGAGGCACGGAACATGAGGCACGGAACATGAGGCACGGAACATGAGGCACGGAACATGAGGCACGGAACATGAGGCACGGAACATGAGGCACGGAACATGAGGCACGGAACATGAGGCACGGAACATGAGGCACGGAACATGAGGCACGGAACATGAGGCACGGAACATGAGGCACGGAACATGAGGCACGGAACATGAGGCACGGAACATGAGGCACGGAACATGAGGCACGGAACATGAGGCACGGAACATGAGGCACGGAACATGAGGCACGGAACATGAGGCACGGAACATGAGGCACGGAACATGAGGCACGGAACATGAGGCACGGAACATGAGGCACGGAACATGAGGCACGGAACATGAGGCACGGAACATGAGGCACGGAACATGAGGCACGGAACATGAGGCACGGAACATGAGGCACGGAACATGAGGCACGGAACATGAGGCACGGAACATGAGGCACGGAACATGAGGCACGGAACATGAGGCACGGAACATGAGGCACGGAACATGAGGCACGGAACATGAGGCACGGAACATGAGGCACGGAACATGAGGCACGGAACATGAGGCACGGAACATGAGGCACGGAACATGAGGCACGGAACATGAGGCACGGAACATGAGGCACGGAACATGAGGCACGGAACATGAGGCACGGAACATGAGGCACGGAACATGAGGCACGGAACATGAGGCACGGAACATGAGGCACGGAACATGAGGCACGGAACATGAGGCACGGAACATGAGGCACGGAACATGAGGCACGGAACATGAGGCACGGAACATGAGGCACGGAACATGAGGCACGGAACATGAGGCACGGAACATGAGGCACGGAACATGAGGCACGGAACATGAGGCACGGAACATGAGGCACGGAACATGAGGCACGGAACATGAGGCACGGAACATGAGGCACGGAACATGAGGCACGGAACATGAGGCACGGAACATGAGGCACGGAACATGAGGCACGGAACATGAGGCACGGAACATGAGGCACGGAACATGAGGCACGGAACATGAGGCACGGAACATGAGGCACGGAACATGAGGCACGGAACATGAGGCACGGAACATGAGGCACGGAACATGAGGCACGGAACATGAGGCACGGAACATGAGGCACGGAACATGAGGCACGGAACATGAGGCACGGAACATGAGGCACGGAACATGAGGCACGGAACATGAGGCACGGAACATGAGGCACGGAACATGAGGCACGGAACATGAGGCACGGAACATGAGGCACGGAACATGAGGCACGGAACATGAGGCACGGAACATGAGGCACGGAACATGAGGCACGGAACATGAGGCACGGAACATGAGGCACGGAACATGAGGCACGGAACATGAGGCACGGAACATGAGGCACGGAACATGAGGCACGGAACATGAGGCACGGAACATGAGGCACGGAACATGAGGCACGGAACATGAGGCACGGAACATGAGGCACGGAACATGAGGCACGGAACATGAGGCACGGAACATGAGGCACGGAACATGAGGCACGGAACATGAGGCACGGAACATGAGGCACGGAACATGAGGCACGGAACATGAGGCACGGAACATGAGGCACGGAACATGAGGCACGGAACATGAGGCACGAAACATGAGGCACGGAACATGAGGCACGGAACATGAGGCACGGAACATGAGGCACGGAACATGAGGCACGGAACATGAGGCACGGAACATGAGGCACGGAACATGAGGCACGGAACATGAGGCACGGAACATGAGGCACGGAACATGAGGCACGGAACATGAGGCACGGAACATGAGGCACGGAACATGAGGCACGGAACATGAGGCACGGAACATGAGGCACGGAACATGAGGCACGGAACATGAGGCACGGAACATGAGGCACGGAACATGAGGCACGGACACATGAGGCACGGAACATGAGGCACGGAACATGAGGCACGGAACATGAGGCACGGAACATGAGGCACGGAACATGAGGCACGGAACATGAGGCACGGAACATGAGGCACGGAACATGAGGCACGGAACATGAGGCACGGAACATGAGGCACGACACATGAGGCACGACACATGAGGCACGAACACATGAGGCACGACACATGAGGCACGACACATGAGGCACGACACATGAGGCACAGAAACATGAGGCACAGAAACATGAGGCACAGAAACATGAGGCACAGAAACATGAGGCACAGAAACATGAGGCACAGAAACATGAGGCACAGAAACATGAGGCACAGAAACATGAGGCACAGAAACATTGAGGCACGGAACATGAGGCACGGAACATGAGGCACGGACAAGCACGGAACATGAGGCACGGAACATGAGGCACGGAACATGAGGCACGGAACATGAGGCACGGAACATGAGGCACGGAACATGAGGCACGGAACATGAGGCACGGAACATGAGGCACGGAACATGAGGCACGGAACATGAGGCACGGAACATGAGGCACGGAACATGAGGCACGGAACATGAGGCACGGAACATGAGGCACGGAACATGAGGCACGGAACATGAGGCACGGAACATGAGGCACGGAACATGAGGCACGGAACATGAGGCACGGAACATGAGGCACGGAACATGAGGCACGGAACATGAGGCACGGAACATGAGGCACGGAACATGAGGCACGGAACATGAGGCACGGAACATGAGGCACGGAACATGAGGCACGGAACATGAGGCACGGAACATGAGGCACGGAACATGAGGCACGGAACATGAGGCACGGAACATGAGGCACGGAACATGAGGCACGGAACATGAGGCACGGAACATGAGGCACGGAACATGAGGCACGGAACATGAGGCACGGAACATGAGGCACGGAACATGAGGCACGGAACATGAGGCACGGAACATGAGGCACGGAACATGAGGCACGGAACATGAGGCACGGAACATGAGGCACGGAACATGAGGCACGGAACATGAGGCACGGAACATGAGGCACGGAACATGAGGCACGGAACATGAGGCACGGAACATGAGGCACGGAACATGAGGCACGGAACATGAGGCACGGAACATGAGGCACGGAACATGAGGCACGGAACATGAGGCACGGAACATGAGGCACGGAACATGAGGCACGGAACATGAGGCACGGAACATGAGGCACGGAACATGAGGCACGGAACATGAGGCACGGAACATGAGGCACGGAACATGAGGCACGGAACATGAGGCACGGAACATGAGGCACGGAACATGAGGCACGGAACATGAGGCACGGAACATGAGGCACGGAACATGAGGCACGGAACATGAGGCACGGAACATGAGGCACGGAACATGAGGCACGGAACATGAGGCACGGAACATGAGGCACGGAACATGAGGCACGGAACATGAGGCACGGAACATGAGGCACGGAACATGAGGCACGGAACATGAGGCACGGAACATGAGGCACGGAACATGAGGCACGGAACATGAGGCACGGAACATGAGGCACGGAACATGAGGCACGGAACATGAGGCACGGAACATGAGGCACGGAACATGAGGCACGGAACATGAGGCACGGAACATGAGGCACGGAACATGAGGCACGGAACATGAGGCACGGAACATGAGGCACGGAACATGAGGCACGGAACATGAGGCACGGAACATGAGGCACGGAACATGAGGCACGGAACATGAGGCACGGAACATGAGGCACGGAACATGAGGCACGGAACATGAGGCACGGAACATGAGGCACGGAACATGAGGCACGGAACATGAGGCACGGAACATGAGGCACGGAACATGAGGCACGGAACATGAGGCACGGAACATGAGGCACGGAACATGAGGCACGGAACATGAGGCACGGAACATGAGGCACGGAACATGAGGCACGGAACATGAGGCACGGAACATGAGGCACGGAACATGAGGCACGGAACATGAGGCACGGAACATGAGGCACGGAACATGAGGCACGGAACATGAGGCACGGAACATGAGGCACGGAACATGAGGCACGGAACATGAGGCACGGAACATGAGGCACGGAACATGAGGCACGGAACATGAGGCACGGAACATGAGGCACGGAACATGAGGCACGGAACATGAGGCACGGAACATGAGGCACGGAACATGAGGCACGGAACATGAGGCACGGAACATGAGGCACGGAACATGAGGCACGGAACATGAGGCACGGAACATGAGGCACGGAACATGAGGCACGGAACATGAGGCACGGAACATGAGGCACGGAACATGAGGCACGGAACATGAGGCACGGAACATGAGGCACGGAACATGAGGCACGGAACATGAGGCACGGAACATGAGGCACGGAACATGAGGCACGGAACATGAGGCACGGAAACATGAGGCACGGAACATGAGGCACGGAACATGAGGCACGGAACATGAGGCACGGAACATGAGGCACGGAACATGAGGCACGGAACATGAGGCACGGAACATGAGGCACGGAACATGAGGCACGGAACATGAGGCACGGAACATGAGGCACGGAACATGAGGCACGGAACATGAGGCACGGAACATGAGGCACGGAACATGAGGCACGGAACATGAGGCACGGAACATGAGGCACGGAACATGAGGCACGGAACATGAGGCACGGAACATGAGGCACGGAACATGAGGCACGGAACATGAGGCACGGAACATGAGGCACGGAACATGAGGCACGGAACATGAGGCACGGAACATGAGGCACGGAACATGAGGCACGGAACATGAGGCACGGAACATGAGGCACGGAACATGAGGCACGGAACATGAGGCACGGAACATGAGGCACGGAACATGAGGCACGGAACATGAGGCACGGAACATGAGGCACGGAACATGAGGCACGGAACATGAGGCACGGAACATGAGGCACGGAACATGAGGCACGGAACATGAGGCACGGAACATGAGGCACGGAACATGAGGCACGGAACATGAGGCACGGAACATGAGGCACGGAACATGAGGCACGGAACATGAGGCACGGAACATGAGGCACGGAACATGAGGCACGGAACATGAGGCACGGAACATGAGGCACGGAACATGAGGCACGGAACATGAGGCACGGAACATGAGGCACGGAACATGAGGCACGGAACATGAGGCACGGAACATGAGGCACGGAACATGAGGCACGGAACATGAGGCACGGAACATGAGGCACGGAACATGAGGCACGGAACATGAGGCACGGAACATGAGGCACGGAACATGAGGCACGGAACATGAGGCACGGAACATGAGGCACGGAACATGAGGCACGGAACATGAGGCACGGAACATGAGGCACGGAACATGAGGCACGGAACATGAGGCACGGAACATGAGGCACGGAACATGAGGCACGGAACATGAGGCACGGAACATGAGGCACGGAACATGAGGCACGGAACATGAGGCACGGAACATGAGGCACGGAACATGAGGCACGGAACATGAGGCACGGAACATGAGGCACGGAACATGAGGCACGGAACATGAGGCACGGAACATGAGGCACGGAACATGAGGCACGGAACATGAGGCACGGAACATGAGGCACGGAACATGAGGCACGGAACATGAGGCACGGAACATGAGGCACGGAACATGAGGCACGGAACATGAGGCACGGAACATGAGGCACGGAACATGAGGCACGGAACATGAGGCACGGAACATGAGGCACGGAACATGAGGCACGGAACATGAGGCACGGAACATGAGGCACGGAACATGAGGCACGGAACATGAGGCACGGAACATGAGGCACGGAACATGAGGCACGGAACATGAGGCACGGAACATGAGGCACGGAACATGAGGCACGGAACATGAGGCACGGAACATGAGGCACGGAACATGAGGCACGGAACATGAGGCACGGAACATGAGGCACGGAACATGCTAACCAACTAGCTATCCAGTCAGCTGCAGCAATCCAACAAGCCCCGTAATTCATAAACATTGAGCCATATAGCATTTTTGGCAAAAGCATCTAACTAATTACAAGTCTTTTCAACAGTAGCATGCTATTAGCCCAAAATTCACAAACATTAAGCCGACAAACTAGCCCTCAAGTCATCAGCAGCAACCTAACTTGCTATCTAGTAAACAGCAGCAAGCCAACTAGCCACCATAAAACCATAAAGCCGTCAAGTCACCTGCAGCAAATTTTTATCAGTCAAGTCACCGCAGCAAGCCAACTAGCCGTCCATTCACCTGCAAGCCATCTAGCCGTCCAGCATCCAGCAGTAAGCCAAGTAGCCGTCAAGTAACAAGCAGCAAGCCAACTAGCCGTCCATTCACCTGCAAGCCATCTAGCCGTCCAGCATCCATCAGTAAGCCAAGTAGCCATCAAGTCACCAGCAGCAAGCCAACTAGCCGTCCATTCACCTGCAAGCCATCTAGCCGTCCAGCATCCAGCAGTAAGCCAAGTAACCATCAAGTCACCAGCAGCAAGCCAACTAGCCGTCCATTCACCTGCAAGCCATCTAGCCGTCCAGCATCCAGCAGTAAGCCAAGTAACCATCAAGTCACCAGCAGCTAGCCAACTAGCTCTCCAGTCAGCTGCAGCAAGCCAACAAGCCAGCAATTCATAAACATTGAGCCATATAACAGTTTTGGCAACAGCATCAAACCAATTACATGTCTTATCAACATTAGCTAGTTATTAGCCGCCCCCAATTCATAAACATTAAGCAGACAAACTAGCCCACAAGTCATCAGCAGCAACCTAACTAGCTATCTAGTCAACAACAGCAAGCCAACAAGCCACCATAAAACCACAAAACCGTCAAGTCACCTGCAGCAAATCATTATCCGTCAAGTCACCGCACCAAGCAATTATCCGTCAAGTGTCCAGCATCAAGCCAACTAGCCCTCAAGTCAACAGCATCAAGCCAACTAGCCTTCAAGTCACCAGCAGCCAGCCAACTAGCAAGTCACCAGCAACCAGCCAACTAGCCGTCAAGTCAACAGCATCAAGCCAACTAGCCGTCAAGTCACCAGCAGCCAGCCAACTAGCCCTCAAGTCACCAGCAGCAAGCCAACTAGCCGTCCATTCACATGCAAGCCATCTTGCCGTCCAGCATCCAGCAGTAAGCCAAGTAGCCATCAAGTCACCAGCAGCTAGCCAATAAGCTATCCAGTCAGCTGCAGCAAGCCAACAAGCCAGCAATTCATAAACATTTAGCCATATAACAGTTTTGTCAACAGCATCAAACCAATTACAAGTCTTATCAACATTAGCTAGTTATTAGCCGCCCCCAATTCATAAACATTAAGCAGACAAACTAGCCCACAAGTCATCAGCAGCAACCTAACTAGCTATCTAGTCAACAACAAAAAGCCAACCAGCCACCATAAAACCACAAAGGCGTCAAGTCACCTGCAGCTAGCCATTATCCGTCAAGTCACCGCAGCAAGCCAACTAGCCGTCATGTCACCAGCAGCCAGCCAACTAGCCCTCAAGTCAACAGCAGCAAGCCAACAAGCCAGCAATTGATAAACATTGAGCCATATAACAGTTTTGTCAACAGCATCAAACCAAATACAAGTCTAATCAACAGTAGCATGCTATTAGCCCAAAATTCATAAACATTAATCCGACAAACTAGCCCTCAAGTCATCAGCAGCAACCAAACTAGCTATCTAGTCAATAACAGCAAGCCAACAAGCCACCATAAAACCACAAAGCCGTCATGTCACCAGCAGCAAATCATTATCCGTCAAGTCACCAAGCAGTAAGCCATTATCCGTCAAGTCACCAGCAGCAAGCCAACTAGCCGTCAAGTCACCAGGAGACAGTCAAGTCACCAGCAGCAAGCCAATAACCGTCCAGTCACCAGCAGCCAGCCAACTAGCCGTCCAGTCACCAGCGGCAAGCCAACTAGCCGTCCATTAAACAGCAGCAAGCCAACTAGCCGTCCATTAACCAGCAGCAAGCCAACTAGCCGTCCATTCACCTGCAAGCCAACTAGCCGTCCAGTCACTAGCAGCAAGCCAACTAGCCGTCCATTAACCAGCAGTAAGCCAAGTAGCCATCAAGTCATCAGCAGCATACTAACTAGCTGTCTAGTCAACAACAAAAAGCCAACAAACCACCATAAAACCACAAAGCCGTCAAGTCACCAGCAGCTAGCCAACTAGCTATCCAGTCAGCTGCAGCAATCCGACAAGCCCCGTAATTCATAAACATTTAGCCATATAACAGTTTTGGCAACAGCATCAAACCAATTACAAGTCTTATCAACGGTAGCATGTTATTAGCCCAAAATTTATAACCATTAAGCCGACAAACTAGCCCACAAGTCATCAGCAGCAACCTAACTAGCTATCTAGTCAACAACAGCAAGCCAACAAGCCACCATAAAACCACAAAACCGTCATGGCACCAGCAGCAAATCATTATCCGTCAAGTCACCAAGCAGTAAGCCAACTAACAATCAAATAACCAGCAGCAAGCCAACTAGCCGTCAAGTCACCAGCAGCAAGCCAATAACCGTCAAGTCACCAGCAGCCAGCCAACTAGCCGTCCATTAAGCAGCAGCAAGCCAACTAGCCGTCCATTAACCAGCAGCAAGCCAACTAGCCGTCCATTCACCTGCAAGCCATCTAGCCGTCCAGCATCCAGCAGTAAGCCAAGTAGCCATCAAGTCACCAGCAGCAAGCCAACTAGCCGTCCATTCACCTGCAAGCCATCTAGCCGTCCAGCATCCAGCAGTAAGCCAAGTAGCCATCAAGTCACCAGCAGCTAGCCAACTAGCTATCCAGTCAGCTGCAGCAAGCCAACAAGCCAGCAATTCATAAACATTGAGCCATATAGTAGTTTTGGCAACAGCATCAAACCAATTACAAGTCTTTTCAACATTAGCTAGTTATTAGCCGCCCCCAATTCATAAACATTAAGCAGACAAACTAGCCCACAAGTCATCAGCAGCAACCTAACTAGCTATCTAGTCAACAACAGCAAGCCAACAAGCCACCATAAAACCACAAAACCGTCATGGCACCAGCAGCAAATCATTATCCGTCAAGTCACCAAGCAGTAAGCCAACTAACAATCAAATAACCAGCAGCAAGCCAACTAGCCGTCAAGTCACCAGCAGCAAGCCAATAACCGTCAAGTCACCAGCAGCCAGCTAACTAGCCGTCCATTAACAAGCAGCAAGCCAACTAGCCGTCCATTAACCAGCAGCAAGCCAACTAGCCGTCCATTAACCAGCAGCAAGCCAACTAGCCGTCCATTCACCTGCAAGCCATCTAGCCGTCCAGCATCCAGCAGTAAGCCAAGTAGCCATCAAGTCACCAGCAGCAAGCCAACTAGCCGTCCATTCACCTGCAAGCCATCTAGCCGTCCAGCATCCAGCAGTAAGCCAAGTAGCCATCAAGTCACCAGCAGCTAGCCAACTAGCTATCCAGTCAGCTGCAGCAAGCCAACAAGCCAGCAATTCATAAACATTGAGCCATATAGTAGTTTTGGCAACAGCATCAAACCAATTACAAGTCTTATCAACATTAGCTAGTTATTAGCCGCCCCCAATTCATAAACATTAAGCAGACAAACTAGCCCACAAGTCATCAGCAGCAACCTAACTAGCTATCTAGTCAACAACAGCAAGCCAACAAGCCACCATAAAACCACAAAACCGTCATGGCACCAGCAGCAAATCATTATCCGTCAAGTCACCAAGCAGTAAGCCAACTAACAATCAAATAACCAGCAGCAAGCCAACTAGCCGTCAAGTCACCAGCAGCAAGCCAATAACCGTCAAGTCACCAGCAGCCAGCTAACTAGCCGTCCATTAACAAGCAGCAAGCCAACTAGCCGTCCATTAACCAGCAGCAAGCCAACTAGCCGTCCATTAACCAGCAGCAAGCCAACTAGCCGTCCATTCACCTGCAAGCCATCTAGCCGTCCAGCATCCAGCAGTAAGCCAAGTAGCCATCAAGTCACCAGCAGCAAGCCAACTAGCCGTCCATTCACCTGCAAGCCATCTAGCCGTCCAGCATCCAGCAGTAAGCCAAGTAGCCATCAAGTCACCAGCAGCTAGCCAACTAGCTATCCAGTCAGCTGCAGCAAGCCAACAAGCCAGCAATTCATAAACATTGAGCCATATAGTAGTTTTGGCAACAGCATCAAACCAATTACAAGTCTTATCAACATTAGCTAGTTATTAGCCGCCCCCAATTCATAAACATTAAGCAGACAAACTAGCCCACAGGTCATCAGCAGCAACCTAACTAGCTATCTAGTCAACAACAGCAAGCCAACAAGCCACCATAAAACCACAAAATCGTCAAGTCACCGCAGCAAGCAATTATCCGTCATGTCACCAGCAGCAAGCCAACTAGCCGTCAAATCACCAGCAGCAAGCCAACAAGCCAGCAATTGATAAACATTGAGCCATATAACAGTTTTGTCAACAGCATCAAACCAAATACAAGTCTAATCAACAGTAGCATGCTATTAGCCCAAAATTCATAAACATTAATCCGACAAACTAGCCCTCAAGTCATCAGCAGCAACCAAACTAGCTATCTAGTCAACAAAAGCAAGCCAACAAGCCACCATAAAACCACAAAGGCGTCAAGTCACCACAGCAAGCCATTATCCGTCAAGTCACCAGCAGCAAGCCAACTAGCCGTCCTTTCACCAGCAGCAAGCTAACAAGCCGTCCTTTCACCAGCAGCAAGCCAACTAGCCGCCAAGTCACCAGCAGCAAGCCAACAAGCCAGCAATTGATAAACATTGAACCATATAACAGTTTTGTCAACAGCATCAAACCAAATACACGTCTCATCAACAGTAGCATGCTATTAGCCCAAAATTCACAAACATTAAGCCGACAAACAAGCCCTCAAGTCATCAGCAGCAACCAAAGTAGCTATCTAGTCAACAACAGCAAGCCAACAAGCCACCATAAAACCACAAAGCCGTCATGTCACCAGCAGCTAGCCATTATCCGTCAAGTCACCAACAGCAAGCCAACTAGCCATAAAGTCACCAGCAGCAAGCCAACTAGCCATCAAACACCAGCTGCCAGCCAACTAGCCGTCAAGTCACCTCGGCAAGTAGAAACGTCGACAGAGCATTATTAATAAGCTAATTAATCTTTTATTTATTAGTAGCAAGCCAACTAGACGTCAAGTCATCATCAGCAAGCCAACTAGCCGTCGAGTCAAAAGCAAGCCAACTAGCCGTCAATTCACCAGCAAGCCAACTAACCATCAAGTCACCAGCAGCAAGCCAACTAGTCATCAAGTCACCAGCAGCAAGCCAACTAGCCGTCAATTCACCAGCAAGCCAACTAGCCGTCATGTCACCTGGGCAAGTAGAAACGTCGTCAGAGCATTATTAATAAGCTAATTAATCTCATATTTATTAGTAGCAAGCCAACTAGACGTCAAGTCATCATCAGCAAGCTAACTAGCCAAGTCACCATCAGCAAGCCAACTAGCCGCCAAGAGACAAGCATCAAGCCAACTAGCCGTCAAGTCACCAGCAGCAAGCCAACTAGCCATCCAGTCATCACCAGCAAGCTAACT